AATGAAACAATATACGATACGATGAATGTAAAGCTAATGTTCTCCCAAGTAAACTATCACATAATTCATAAAGAGAGACAAAGAAGGCCATTACACAATGATTAAAGGGTCAATTGAAAAAGAGGACTTAACCATAATGAATACCTATGTTCCCAATGAACCTCAAAGTACATAACTCAAAATCTAACTGAAGGGAGAAAACAGACAATCCTACAATAATGTAGGAAATTTTAATACATGACTTTCAATGGACAGACCAACTAGAAGAAACTCAATAAAGACACAAGAAACATACCTTACAAAGATAAAAAACAGAAGAACTAAACAACACAATCAACCAACCTGACCTCATAAACATACAGAACACTCCACCCAACATTACCACAACATACAATATTTTCCAGTGCACTTGGAACAGTCTTCAAAATATATCATTTGTTAGGCCACAAAGCATACCTTAATAAATTTTAATAAAGAAATACTACAAAACATCTTCTCAGATTACTATGCTGTAAAATTAGAAATAAACAATAAAAAGATAAAGAAAAAAACTGAAATAATCAGAAACTGAATAACACACTGCTTAAATACTACTGGTTAAAAGAAGAAATAAAAAATAAAGTAAAACAAAAAAAATACCTTGAATCAAACTGGAATGAAAACAACAAAACTAAACTGTTGGGATACAGCAAAAGCTGTGCTTAGAGAGCAATTTACAGCAATAAACGCACACACACATCCAAAATGAACAAAAATCCAAATTCAACAACTTTGACTCAATATGTCCAACAATTAGAAAAAGAGCAGCAAAGCAAGCCTACAGTCCCCAGAAGAAAACAAATAATAAAGATTAGAAGGAAAATAAATGAAACAAAAAGCAGAAAAAAAGAATCAGTAAAACTAGAAATTGGTTCTTTGAAAAGATTAATAAAACTGACAGATCACTGACAACATAACAAGGAAAATATGCAAATAACATGAATAAAAAATGAAATGGGCAACATCCAGTGGAAATAAAAGAGATAAATAACAAAATATTATGAATAACTGTAGGAGCACAATAGCTCTCTAGGATAAGCACTAAGCTGCTAACCACAAGGTTAGTGGTTCAAGCCCAATGGCAACTCTCTGGGAGAAGATGAGGCTTTCTGCTCATCTTTTCTGTCAAAGATTTATAGCCTTGGAAATCCTATACTGGGTCGTCAGGAGTCTGAACTGACTTGACACTTAACAACAACAAAATGAGTAACTGCACTCTAAAAAATGTAAGACATAGAAGAAATGAACAAATTACTAGAAACATGTTGTTGCTGTTGTTAGGTGCCATGGAGTTGGTATCGACTCATAGCAACCCTATGCACAGCAGAACGAAACACTGCCCGATCCTCGGCCAACCACACTACTGTTGCCATGCTTGAGTCCATCGATGCTGCCACCTGGCCAATCCATATTGTTGGGGTCTTCCTCTTTTTCTCTGACCCTCCACCTTACCAAGCATGATATCCTTCTCCAGCGACTGGTCCCTCTTGACAATATGTCCGAAGTATGAGACATGAAGTTTGGCCATCTTGGCCTCCAAAAAGCACTCTGATTGCACTTCTTCCAACATGGATCTATTTGTTCTTTTGGCAGCCTATGGCACTTTCAATATTTCCATAACTCAAATGCGTCAATTCTTCTACATTCTTCCTTACTTACTGCCCAGCTTTCGCATGCATATGACTAGAAACATACTATCTATTTAAACTAACAAAAAATGAAGTAGAAAATTTGAACAGACTCATATGGTTACAAATCGGGCTGCTATCCTCAGGGTCAGCAGTTCAAAATTACCAGGTGTTCTGCAGGAGAAAGATGAGGCTTTCTGAGCCCGTAAAGATTTACAGCCTCGGAAACCCTGTACAGGGTCGCTATGAGTCGGAGCCAACTCCATGGCACATAACAACAACAACAACATAACAAAAATAAAGTAAGCACATAACCCAGATACCAAAACCAGGCAAAGACATGATTAAAAAATAAAATTATAGACTACTCTTCCTCATAAACACAGATGTGAAAATACTCAACAAAACCCTTTTCAATAGAATCAAACAACATACTTCAAAAATAATGCATTATGACCAAGTGGAATTCATGCCAGGTATGCCAGGATGGTTCAACATTAAAAAACAAATGAAATTCATGCCAGGTATGCCAGGATGGTTCAACATTAAAAAACAATCAACATAAGCCATTATATAAATAAAACAAAGGAAAAGAACCACATAATCATATCAATTGATGCAGAAAAGGCATTTGACAAAATATCACACCAATTTCTGACAAAAACACAACAAAACAGATATAAAAGGAAAAGTCCTCAACATAATTAAGGGCATATATTAAAAATCAATGGTCACCCTTCTCTCAGCAGAGAAACTGAAAGTTTTCATGCTGTGAAAGGGAACCAGACAGTATACCCTTTCCCTTTATCATCACTTCTATTCAATACTGTGAAAGAAGTCTTAGCGAGAGCTATAAAGCAAGAAAGAGAAATTAAAGGCATCTATATTGACAAAGAAGTAGTAAAATGCTTTCTACTTGCATATGATATAAACCTATACATAGAAAATCCCAAAGACTTGGTAAGAAAAGTATTAAAATTAATCAAAAGATCCAGTGAAGTAAAGATAAGCATAAATAATCAGTTGATTTATTTTCACTAACAAAGAAAGCTTTGCATAGGAAATTAGTGAAACAATTATCATGTACAATAAATATTGTGTTGTATGTAAGTGCTGTCAAGTTGATTCCAACTCATAATGACCCTTACAGGATTTCAGAGGAGCAGTTGGTGGGTTTGAATTACCAATCTTGGGGTTAGCATTCAGTGCTTATCCTCCAGCATGATACCAGGAGTTCACCATTTACAACAGTAACCCAGAAGATAAAATACTTAGGAATGAATCTAATGAGAGAAGCAAAAGACGACCTTGCAAACAAAGAAAACTACAAAACATAACTATAAGAACTTAGAAGAGACCTATATGGAAAAATATACTATATTCATGGATAAGAAGACAACATTTATGAAAATGTCAATACTACTTAAGCTGATCTATAAGTATAATGCAATTCCAATCTAGATTCCAACATCATTCTTTCAAGAGATAGAAAAACTAATCACCAACTTAATATGGAAAGGAAAAAGACTGCAGAAAAGCAAAGCATTACTAAAGAAGAACAAAGGAGACCTCTCACTTCCTAAACTCAAAACCAGAGATGTCAAAACAGCCTTGTGTTGATACAATGACAGACACATAGCCCAATAAAATAGAATTGAAAACCCAGAAGTAAATTTATCCACCTAACAGACAGTTGATCTTTGACAAAGGGCTGAAACAAATTAAATGGGGATGAAATATTCTCTTTGGCAAGGTTGCTGGCAAAACTGGTTATCCATTTCAAGAAAATTGAAATAGGATCCACAAGTCACACCATATACAAAACAAACTCAAGATGGATTAAAGACCTAAATGTAATACCCAGACCCAAAAAGATCATCAATTTAAAAAATAGGGAAAATTTAGAGGCCCTGATACAGAGTATAAATATACTATCACATATAACTGAAAACACACCAACAGAAAACAAACTAGACAATTCAGACCTCCTAAAAATCAGACACATATGTGCATCATAAAGCTTCACCAAGAGTAAAAAGAGAATCCACAGAGTGGGAAAATATTTTTTAGCGTGACATAACAGATAAGAGATTAATCTCTACAATTTATAGAAAATGTCAACACCTCAACAACAACAAAAAAGACAAAATAATTCAATTAAAAAATGGGCAGAAAACATGAACAGACACTTCATCAAAGATATTCAGCAGGCCAGCAAACTTTGGCACTTAACAACAGGGAGATAATTCAATCATTTCAAAATTAGAGCAAAATTTACCTAACAGTAACTTAAGGACAAGCAAGAGTTGCCCATAAGTTGAAAGTTCGTATCACAGGGACTGACTACAAATCACTGGCATACAGAAAAAGAAAGTGGGAACATAACAAAACACCTTTTGTAGACCTTGCTGGATCCTTTACTGAACAAACTGTAAAAGGACATCTTTGAAACAATGGGAGTAAACTGAATATGTTCAGAGTATCAAATTATCTTTAAATTATTGTTAATTTGTTCAGTTATGATATGGTTATGTAAGAAAAGATCTGTATTATTTAACGCACAATGAAGTACATAATGGTAAAAAGACATGCTGAAAAGACAAGAAAAGGGGCAGATAAAGTCAAGTAAGCAAAACATTCTAAACATTCATGTTCTAAACATTCTACTTTTATTTAAGTTTGAATTTCTTCATAACAGAAAATAGTTTAGAAAATACGTCTGTCAATAGAGATGAACTATCACGGGTCATTTAAATTCCAGTAAGGTATTAATTTATACTTTAAAACTTTGTGGGTACTCACATATGATTTAATAGAGATGTTCACCACTGTTGAAAATCCACAAAATTTACAGATAAACCTTGAACAACATGGGTTTGAACTACACAGGTCCACTCATTAGCTTACATCACAGTGGGATACTAATAATCTCCTTGGGAGTAGCAGTAACTGCTATTAAAAATTCCATATATAAGTGGGCCCAGGCAGTTCAAATTCGTGTTGTTCAAGGGTCAACTGTACTTTTAAAACTCAGACACCAAGCTTTATAATGGGAGGGAAGAAGAGCTTATTTATATGTAGATCATGAAAGTGTGTTTTAAACATATTTTACATAATAAAAGTTCAAATGAATGCAAGAAGGATCCAGAAGAAGTTGTAGTTCTTTGATCTTTATCTTGGCTTTCCCTACATCATGAGCAATAGCTTTAAATATATTTCAACCATCCCAGACACCTCAGTATGTATTCATTTTACCTACTATGGTTCAGTGATATCCAACTTGCGTATTTTTGTTAGATGTCACCTAAATCCACCAATCAGGAAAAGACTTACACTGGTCACGCGACGGTAGATCTGCGCAGCATTTTGGCACTCTGAGTAAGGGTATTCAGATGTGGCCATCTCAAGCATGCACATCCCAAAAGCATACACATCAACGGATTCATCATATTTCTCCTCATACATCTCAGGGGCCATGAACTCTGGTGTACCTTAAATTAAAAGAACAATTCAGACTCAATGTTAGAAGCGGCAAATGACATTACCCACCAGGGGCAGAAGCAGAGGGATTGATCAGTGAGAGAAAAGAAGGTGAAAGGGGAACAAAAGAGAGGAAGTACATCTTTTTAGTCAGTCTGTTTCATCAAATATCAGACAGACCTTCCACAGCAAGGCCTTTGTAAGAAACTAAAACCAAACTGTCTATTTACTGTTTCAAATGGATTCCTACTATATAATAAGTCAAAATAAGTCTTGGGTAAGAGATTAACTAAAATACTCATATTAGAAACAAAAAAAAAAGGTAAGAGACTAAAAAGGAATAAAATGGATACAACAGTATCAACCTGTATGATGGGATGATGGGTTGAAAAGTTCAAAATACTTGTCTGCCCCCTACTGTATCGTAGTTGTAAGGTTAACATTCATTGTTACTCTTTTTCCATTAACACTAGCTGATAAGCTTTACCTTTTAAAGAGGCATGCAGTGATAAACTTGATATTCAGTTACATTTTTAAAAAATAGTAAGTGCAATTAACTACAAAAGGCCACTCACCAGAATCATTTTTCTTCACATACTTATCATCCTACCTACAGTACACAAATAAGCTTATTACAGATACAAGAAATAAAGTGAGGGACATCCTATAGATATAATATATATGCACATGTGTATTATATATCTATATAATACAGAATAGTACTCAAATATAGAGACTGAGTTATGACCATACAAAGTGTGAATTCACAAAATAAGTTTGCAATGCTCCCAAAGAAATTAAGTCTGCATACTTCAAATTATAGCTAATTCCAAGGAAAAGTTTGCATGTTATGATTACAAAGAAAGAAAGAAAAATTCTCTTGGGTCAGAGATTTTAAGATGCCAAGGACAATCAAAGAGATGTTTTCTGTAAGAAATAAAAAATAAAAGGTAAATTCTGCTTTAAGTAATTCTTTCCATTCTTCTTGTCTGATTGTAAGAAAACGATATATAAAAAAGAGTATTTCATATCCTAGTTACATAGTATTCCAAGGAGACCACTGCTTAATAAGGATATGCAAATTACTAGTGCTTTATGCTTTTACTTTTCTATTAATACTTCAGTATTCTATTCTAGTATACTTAAAAAAAAATGGGTTTCTTTTGTTGTTATTGTCAACTTTGGTAGGGGGTAGAGGGATAGAAGAATGGATCACATGTAAAGATTTTTAAAATTGTGATATCCTCTTTAGAAGGAGCCCTTGTAGGGATTATGAGCTGGGATGCTAACTGCAAGGTCAGTAATTAGAATCTATCAGTCACTCTGTGGGAGAAAGATGAGTCTTTCTGCTCCCATAAAGATTTATAAGCCTCAGAAACCCTATACAGGGTCACTGTGAGTTGGAACCAATTCGGTGGCACACCACCACCACCACTGACAGTATAAACTGAAAGCCTTTCAAAACAACATGCAATAGATCCTGGTATGGTGCTGTGGGTTAATGCACTGGACTGCAAAATTGGTTTGAACCACAAGGTAGGTGGCTCAAGTTCACCAGTTGCTCCTCAGGAACCCTATACAAAATCAGTATGGGTCGGAACTGACTCAATGGCACTTAATTGACTATTTTTCCAGTTACTACTCTCTAATATTTAGCTGTGGGACCTGGTGATGCATGGTTAAGTGCTTGCTGCTAATGGAAAGGTTAGAGGTTTGAACCCACTACCTACTCTGGTTGAAAAAGATATGGCAGTCTGCTTCCTAACAGCCTTGGAAATCCTAAGGGGCAGTTTTTGCATCGCAATCAATTCCATGATAATGGTTTTAAAGTCTGAAAGGATATCCTTGTTCTTTAGATAAGTGATTTTTTTTTTTTTTACAGGAGGTGATTTTGCTTCCCAGGGGGACATCTGGCAATGTCTGGAGACATTTTTGGTTGTTACCAACTGGAAGGTAGAAGATAGTAAAAAGGGGGTAAAGGCCAGGGAAGATGCTAAACATTTCACCAGGCAATGACAGTCCCTCACAACAAAAGAATTTTTCAGCCCCAAATGTCAATAGTACTCTGTTTTAGGAATATAACTATTGAAGAGAGGAAATAAGAAAAAAGTTGATAAAACTTTACAGAATGAACTCATATTTTTCACAACAGTTCATAAAATTTTAAAAAGCAGATATTCTTGAATATATGGACTCTTGGTCTGATGCTGTAGGATAAACACTAGACTGCTAACCACAAAATCGGTGGTTCAAACACACAAGCTGTTCCTCAGAAACCCTACACAGGGTCGCTATGAGTCAGAACTAACTTGACAGCACTTAACAACGATTCTTAAATATACAAATATGCATTGAACGACTTTTTAGATACTAAACTACATGTAAATTCCTTTTCTTTTACAGGGCAAAGAAAGACACTGCACTTATTATATAAAGAGTAAATATCAAGTATCAAAGAATTACTTAATAAGACACAAGATTTTATCAACAAAGTTTTCCTTCTATGAATTGTATAAAACATGTCTTCTTAATGATTCTAGAAGCATAAATATAGAAAACTCCGTTATCTCATAAATAGAAATGCCCACTTCTTGAGCTCAAGTTATGAATTTTTCAAGGTTTATTTTACTTAATAAAAGTTCTGAAAGGTTCAGGCTTCTAAATAAAAACACTATCTGTCACAAAGCCAGTTAGGCTCCAAGGTACACTTGAAACATACCTATCACACTCTTGGCAAAAGAAGCCCGCTTCAGTGTTGCCAGACCTAGGTCTCCAATCTTGACTGAGCCTGTAGGGCCAGTGATAAAGATGTTGTCACACTTAAGATCCCGGTGAATAATAGGTGGAGTGCGAGTATGAAGAAACTGAAGTCCTTTAAGGATCTGACGGCACCAGCTTCTTAGAACTTTGATCTTCATCACTTTAAACCTTTTCAAGTACCTAGGAAAAAAGGTAAGGTTCATCAAACAGGTTATCAATGATAAGAATATATTGCTTTGAAGAATTCTATTAAATTCTAGCACACCTGAAACAGGAACAGCAAATACAGAATATTAAGATTCCTTAAAAGTTATTGATACTTTTAATAAAGTTAAGGGATACAGAAAAAGAAGTCTCTTGAATACTTTTGTTTAATCTAAAGAATAACAGAGTTAGGTAACCAGACTTTTGTTAAAATGGGATCAAGTTGGCTGTATTGTTGTCATTGTTAAGTGCTGTTGAGTTGGTTCCATCTCACAGTGACTCTATAATAGGGTTTCCAAGGCTAAAAATCTTTGTGGAAGCAGAAAACCTCATCTTTCTCCCATGGAGTGGTTGGTGGGCTCAAACCGCTGACCTTATGATTAGCAGTCCAGTACTTTTCCTCAGCACCATCATGATAATACTATGTCAGTACTGTTGTTGTTGTTAAGTGTCATTGAGTTGGTTCTGCCTCATAGTGACTCTGTAGAGTTTCCTAGGAGTGGCTGATGGGTTAGAACCGCCAACCTTTTGGTTAGCAGTCCAGTGCTTATCCTACAGCTCCATATCAGTATTGTGGCTGTTGTTTTTAAGTGCTGTCGAGTCAACTCTGACTCATAGTGACCCTATTTTCAAGGAGCAGCTTGTGGGGTTGAGCTGCTGATCTTGTGGTTCGCAGTCCAGTGCTTACCCTACAGTGCCACACTAGAAGCAGTATCAAAATATTTCATGACAGAAAATATTTAATGAAGTACCTGTTAATAAACTCTGATAACAAAGCACAAGTTAATTCCTTAAAATTAGTTCATTACTAAGGTGATTAAAAGTTAAGAGGTAGAGTTGTATTTCTGATAAATAGTGGAGTAACTCTTATTGAATACATATATAATTATTTTAAACTTTAGACAAAAATGCATTAAATAGTTTGAAGGCTCTGAAAGGGAATACACACCAAAAGCAGGGTTGAATTTTCTACTTTTTACACCTTTTATAGATAAGACTCCAGAGTCTGACTATGCAGGTCAGCTGAGATCTGGAGAAAACCTATAGTTTTACTGGTTGAGGACTATAAAGACAGAACGCAGGATGACATCTAGAACAGTGCTATCCAAAGGAACTTTTTGTGACAATGAAAGTGCTCTAATATATTATCTACTAGCCAAATATGGCTATTTATATTTAAATCGAAATAAAAACTGTAGTTTCTCAGTTGCAATAACTACATTTTAAGTGCTTAACAGCCAGCCACATGTGGTTAGCAGTTACTATTTTGAACTGTGCAGTTAACAGAATAGCTCCATCACTGTAGAAAGTTCTATTTGACAGTGGAGATCTAGAAAATGAAGTTGGGAAATCCCAGAATGGAGGCAAGGAAAGGAAGCTCCAAATTCTGTAAATGTACTTTGCTCAAACTTGTGACTGACCTATGAAATGTGTATATCTGAGGCAGATTCCAAGCACCACAGTTAATGCTATAAGAACTTAAGAGATTTCTGATGCTGCCCATATCAGAAAGAGTTGGGGACTGAGTTCAGGTACATTAAGTGCCTGACATGAATGAATGAATGGATGAATATGTAGAGAGAGAGAGATAGAGATAGAGATAGAGATAGAGGAGAGAGAGAGAGAGAGAGAGAGAGAGAGAGAGAGAGAGAGAGAATGAGAATCAATATAGGTATGTGTTGCTTAATGGCCACAATATATTCTGTTAAATAAAACATTATATGACTTGAATGTCATGTGAAAACAATAGAACCCAAATCCATACCACTGCTGCTGCGCTGAGGGACTGTTTGGAAACTGGTGTACAGATGCTGCGTGGTTGCTGCCTAGTCTCTGATAGCCATGCCCATACCTGGCTGCCCTCGCCTCTGGCTCTTTTCTCTTCCTTTTTCCTTGTTTCCACATGCCCTCAAATGGGCTTTAATTATCTTCCACTAGCCCCTCCTCTTCACTTGGCTGCCTTTCCTCCACCTGCCATTCCACAGCCCTGGACTTTAGTATAGGAGCCATGGGCATGAGCTCAGGCATCACACATGTGACTAGTTTAAGCAAAATGTGCAATAACTGTAGGGTTTATTTTATTTAAATTATTATTTATAAAAATGAAGAATGCAATCTCTAGAGTAACCATGAGATTCCTTGAGTGCTGCAAGTGGTTAACATGCTTGACTACTAACCAATAAATTAGAGGCTTGAGTCCATTCATAGGTGCCTTGGACACACATGTGGTCACTGTGCGTTGGAGTCGAGTTGACAGCAACTGACTTTTTGGTAAAGCAACCAATTAAAAAGCAAAACAAAATAAATCATGAAGAAATAGTTACCTTCTAATTATTTCACTCCTGATAAATAGAGACCCAAAGTTGTGTCCTGTATGGCCAACTGCAAATGTTTAAGACCCCAGATGCTACTCATTTCACTAGGATACAAGATCATGGAATCCTAGGTGTGGCACTGTGGGTTAATGCGCTGGACTATAAGGTCAATTTGAATTGCAAAGTGAATGGTTCAAGCTCATCAGCCACTCCTCGGAAGGAAGCTACGAGTCAGAACCAACTCGATGGCACTTAACAACATATTGTGCTAAGTGACTGAGTTGTCCCATGACACTATGCTCCTAACACAGAAAACGAATGTTGGAATGTATATGGCTGTGCCTGAGGAATATCCATTAATGACTCTTCAATTAATATACATGCCAGTGGTGAAGCACTTTGTTGCTAACCAAAAGAGGTTGGTGGTTCAAATTTACCAGCTGCTCCATGGAAAAAGTGTGGCAGTCTGCTTCCATAAAGATTTCAGCATTGGAAACCTTATGAGGCAGTTCTACCCTGTTATACAGGATCACTATGAGTTGGAACTGACTGGACAGCAGTAGGTATAGACACTTCTATCTGTTCTCATCTATGGACACACCTGTACCTACCTATATGGCAATTTGCATATATCCATCCATATATGTGCAAACACTTTTTACTTGGGTTGTGCTATGCTCACTACACCTACATGTGGTGTCACTTTTTTCAACAATAAAAAAGTAACAGGTCAACAAGAGCCACAACCTCATCTAGCCTGATACCAGAACTAAATGGTATACCGTTACCATCACTGACAGTTCTAACCGGGGTCACAATAGTTGATCCAAGATAGAATGGGTGAGTAAAAAGAGAATTCAAATTCTTATTAAAAAAAAAAAAAAAAGTCAAACAAACTGTAACAAAGAAAACAGAGGACTCCCTGAAATACTCTTAAATCCAGAACTTAGCCTATACCCTGAGATCACCTTTTAGCAAAACATTGGAGTGGCACATAAAATAAAGGATCATTACCCATAAAATCAATGCCCTACTTAAAAACCATCAATATGAAACTAAAGCGCAACAATTACTCAAAAGCAAAGATGAGAAGGGGGTAGGGAAACTACAACACTACAAAAAGAACACATTGAAAGAGAATGGTTTCAAATTGTGATCAATGAAACTCACCAATTTGTGTAGAAATTGTCAAATAAGAACCTAACTTATTGTGCAAAGTTTCACCAAAAATTCAGTAAAATACTATTTAAAAAATAGTTTAAAAAGTTAAAAAAAAAAAAAGCTAATAAGAAATCCGGAATCATGATGTGCTGTGGGTTAATGCACAGGACTGCAAAGTCAGTTTGAACCTCAAGGTTGGCGGTTCAAGCTCATCAGCTACTCTTTGGAAGCCCTATACAGGGTCACTATGAATTGGAACTGACTCAACGGCACTTATCAACAACAACAATAAGAAACTCATGACTGTCTAGTCAATTCTGATTCATAATGACTCTACATGACAGTAGAATTGCCACACTCATTTTCCAACGCTGTAATCTTTACATTGCACCACTAGAACTCCCTAAAAATCTAATGGAGAAATTAAACTCTACTGTGGGATAATCAGAAGAAAATTAATTGTAAACATAGATTTCATGGTTTAAAACTATCAAAACAATAGGTACATACCTGAGGGTGGGAAGAGCATTTTGTGACATGATGAAAATGATCCATATTATTATAATCGATGTTCAGGTTTCAAAAGTGACTGAGTTTGCCAAAATTCAACAAACTGATCAATTATGACTGGCTTAAGCTTTTTGTTATCCATAAATATAGAGTACATAAATATTGATTGATATTGCTAAATATACTACAAGGGTGAATCAAAAAGTATCCACACTCTGGTTATATTAAAACACCTATCCACATACAAGATTTATGACAACATCAAGAGTACATATGAAATGATTCTGTATAATAGTTGAATGATAGTGGATTATGTGGCAAATCATTTGCTGAAATCAGCTATGGCTCTGCCTATGAAATAATCCATGACAACTTGGGTCTCGAAAAGCTTGTGAGAGATAGGTACTGAAAGAACTCATAGAAGAGCATAAACAGAAGAATTTGGACAATATTTGAAGGAAGGTAAAAGTTTTTTAAAAAAATAAAACATTGCTGGTGATGAGACATGGATTCATCAGTACAAGCCTGAGAGTAAATGGCAGAGTATGGAATGGGAACATCCTCAATCGCTGACCCAAAAAAAGTTCAAAAATCAACCATCAGCTGGAAAATTGATGCTTACAGTTTTCTGGGATTCTCAAGGGCCAGTAAAAAGTTTCAACAATAACAGTGCTAGTTACAGAGAGACGCTCACTGAAGAGCTGAAGGCTAAACTTTGGATTAAACGCAGACTGCTATCCAAGGGTGTTGTGATCTTGCATGACTATGTATGTCCACACACCTCTGCCCATACTGCTGATACTCTGCCAAAACTTCAAGTGTTAAAGCATGCTCCATATAGTCCTGATCTTGCTCCATCGGACTTTCACCTGTTAGGTTTCCTGAAAGCAGCCATTTGAGGAGGAAGATTCACCTCTGATGAAGAAATGAAGACAGCAGGGCAATCATGGCTCAAAGTTCAGCCCAAAGCATTTTTAAATAATGGAATAC